AAGGAGGGGGCTTTGTAGAAAACGAAGCGTTTGAGAGAGGCGGGGCATAGAGGACCTACAATAATGTACAGTATTTGAAAAATAATGTGTTTTTTGAACATTAAAGCATGTCAACATATTCTGTTACACCAAATACACAAAATAATGATCTTTAAAAAAGCATCATATGACCCCTTTAATATAAAGTGCTCTTCGTGCTTTGGATATCTTAGGTCGTGTGCTTTCACTCAGCAGTTCACTTGCCCTTTGGCATCTGCCATTGTTTATTTATTTTCAAACATATTTTTCCATTAAAATGCAATTTTGTAAAGTGACTGCACTGACGGAGCACAACAAGCAAATATAAACTTCAGTAATGAAAAATGATGATTATTTTCATAATCGATTAGTCGTTGAAGTCCTGAAGACCTAATTTTATCAATACTTGTAAGTAAAATTACATGTATTTTCTTGGTGAATATAGTATGGATTTTCATCATGAAAATCAGCATTTTCCAGCAAAAAAACAGACATACACATACAGTATTATCCAGTAAAAAACATTTTTAGACATATGGAAATATGATTCAATAAAATATAATCCAAAAATAAGATTTATTTTCACCTTATATGATAAGGCTAATGAATCATATGGTAGGGTTATCCAATTAATAGGTTATTATTTTTTACTTTTTCTGAATAACAAACATTTTTATAGTACATAATATTTATCTTCCAGAGAGATGTCATATGGGCATAATGGGGTTATTCACCTGTGAAAGCTCACTAGAGTGTGCAGGTGTGCACTTGACTCATCTGATGTGGCATGTTACTTGAATTTCAATATCCTTGAACCATGTGTATTTTTGTACTCATACATCGATTTTTCTTCTTAATCAAATAGCCAGTTTCCTATATGACGTCTTTGGTGCAATGTGTTATTTTCCTCCTCTCTTTCACTTCTCCTCCTCTCTTCTTTCTTTCTCGCTACACACTCTCTCTCTCTCTCTCTCTCCTGCAGGCGGACTGTTCATCAGGAACACAGATCAGGAGTACACTGCCTTTCGGTTGGCCATTTTTCTTCACAACACAAGCCCTAATGCATCCGAGGCCCCCTTTAACCTGGTACCCCACGTGGACAACATTGAGACTGCCAACAGTTTTGCCGTGACCAATGCCTGTGAGTTCAACCTGAAGCTGCATACTGGAAATTTACATTAATGCTGTTTTAGACAGAGAAATAGAGAAAGGACCGTAGGTGATATTGTTGATGGACCTAGAGTAGGTTTGGATTAAGTCCCATTTCCGATATGAATAGCAAACAATTTAAGCTAATGATAATCATACCTGCTACGTGAACTGAACAGAAGCAGTAAATGCCCTCCGTACAGTGTGATAGGGATTGCCTGGCCCCTATCCAGTCAGCACTGGTGTCTCTTTGTGAAATCTGTCCTCTGGCTCTCAACTGGCACAAATACAGGCTAAGTACATGTAGTGTACGGTATATTCGTGTATGCACTCTTCCCCCTTCCCCCAGTGCCCTGAGCCAGGATTTCTCATTCAATGTGTTCTGCTGACATATGTGCTGGCATTGCATAAATTGTGTTTGTGTGTTTGTGTTCATATTTTGCTGTAATACAGTCTAGGTCTGCCATAGTTCGTTTGTAAACCCCTTCTGGTATTCTGCTGTGTGGTCTCATGTTTAGGCCTGTGGGCCTGAATGGTGGTTGTGCATCAAGCCAGATCCATGATGAAGTCACTAAGGTGCATCATATCTTCCGAATATCTTTTTGCCATTTCCCATCATGCTTAGTGGTTTTTGACATAGGGTCAGAGGGTAATAGTGAAGATCAGCCACGGTTGTGCCTGGACTTCTGTTTTTTCCTACTTGTGCCCAGTTCAATTGCTATTTTCTTCAAGTAGCCTAATGTTCAGTGCTCAGCTCTAACCACAGCATACAGTGTTCCTTATTGTCTTGTTATCTTCTGTGCTGTGATATGAAGTGATACGAGGACCTGTGCTTCCCAGGCAATTGTGTTTTGTGCAAAGTTTGAAAATATGCTGCGCAAGAAATTTAACTTCTAGCAGAGACAACATCATAAACTCCACGCAATCAAAATTGGAGTTTTGCCGTTAAAGCTGTCTAGTGTACAACTGATTGAAGCAGATACACACAAGTAAAATTTACAGTCACTCTCTTCCAGGAAAATGGAGGAATATTTTGATGACTCATATTGCACTACACAGTTCTGGTCGAATTAAATGAATGTCAGTGAGAGATGTTTTGCACTGTATGCCATTGTTTTCCAGTTAAATTTATTGATCAAGTTACAGTTTATGCGGTGTAGTTTACTTTTTGTAAAAAATATATTTTCATACATTTTCTAGTACATTTATTAGTATTTTATTACATTTAATAGAATTGTTCTAGTAATTTATATTCAACTACTGAACCAACTGGGAAAAAATCCTTACTGTTGAGCCCTGTTGAGCACTTACTAGCAAGTAGTAAATCATATTTTATAGCTGTTACTAAAGTATTTTGGCTGTTTTAAACAAAAGGGACAATCCCTCCCAATTTGTCCTGCCCACAACTTTCTGTTTCCTGCTCTTGTTAAGCGATTTCATATGGTCTTCATTTTCCTTATTTTGACATGTATGTTATCAGACAAGCTATTCTTCCTGTCAACACTTCCTTGCTGCTGCACAAATTCTTAAACTCATCCTCATCCGGTGTCATAACATACTGTGTTCTCCACACTCTGAGACCTGTCCCTGATGATAGAGTCGGCCCCTTGAGCAATAATGATGAATTTGTCTGAAATTTATATAGCCCATTTAACCTTCTCAGCAGATTAAATGCACACGCAGTCGGCGTGGTAATTCGAGCCAGCCTGATAAGTTCCTGTCCTATTACTGTGTATGAACAATCGGTTTCAGTTAAACAGATTAATCGCCCGGTCCGTCACTCGCCATTTTGAGCACAGTGTAAATCACTGCAGAGGAGCGGCAGCCCTGCTTGTGTAGTAGTCAGACTACCAGCGATCTGACGTGGTGTGCCACATCCTCGGCGTCTCAGCCTTTTCTTCCTTCCTCTGTGACTGTCTGCAGCTCTGTTTGCAGTGTGTTCCACATGATGGCTTTTATTCCTCACTGGGGAGCCATTGCTGCCACGGGAGGATGAGTAGAGGACAGATTATTCCCTCCCAATGATCTTTCTGCTTTCAGCCGCCTGTTTCTTTCCCTCCATCCTCTCATTTCTGCAGTGTTATTTTACACAGTCAATTGTTAAATTAAGCGGGGAAGTTTTTGGGGAGGGTGAGGGGCAATTTTGCATAGTAGGGATTTGTGTGACCTCTAGGACAGCCGTGCAAGTGGGCATGATTTCAGCTTCACAGCAGTGGGTATGTCAACTCAGCAGCATAGTGCTGATACAAGCCTCTTTTTATGTAATTCAGTCATACCCGAGACAAGTTTGTTTCCTACCGTCATATCAGTGTGCATGATAGCATCGCCACATGGGCATATGCCCCTCTCCACAGAGCTACACTCAACCTATTTACTCGCAGCGCCACATGAGTGAACACTGCTTTATAAAATGAGCATGGCAGCTGGATGAAGTGTTATCGGTGCTTTAAACCGTTTATAAAAAGGTCAGCAAATTAAACATTTGTCATTTGTACGTTTGCTGCTGTATGTTCCAGTTATTCTAACCGCAGAGTCTTATGCTGTATTATTAGATAGCGCAAATATCCGAAATATTGTGCTACTAGAACAGGGCTTATTATCACAATAAATTGTCACAATTGTGACAAAAATGTAAAAAAAATTTAATAAAAATACAATCAGAGAATAATTCAAAATCTAGTTGTTCAGGATTTGCGAATTGGTTCTTTTTAATGGGTCAGCCAAAAGGTTTTAAGAAACTGGGTTGAGCTTGCTTGTGACTTAGTGGTTTGAATTAGACTCATTCTGTAATTTGGTGATGCACCAAAAAAAATTTTCAAATACAATTTGGTGATGTAACTAATGATGCACCAAAATTTCAGCTACTGAAAATATTTACCTGAAAAAGCAAAACTAATAAATTTTCAGTTTCGGCCAAAATATTGAGTCTGACATGTCAGGTCTGAAATATCGAGGGACTGTTAATTGCTGAAAAATTTTACTATGACTTTTTTACCTCCTGTGAACAGGACACAAACCGGTTGAAAAGCGATACAAATATGTGACGATTCAAATCGGTTGAGATGTTAAACGAATCGCGATACATTTGGGAGTGGGAGTTTATATAAATGTATCTCTGAGGGGAACTGACTGTCTTTAGAAAAGTTTAGATGATATTTTATTTTCATCTTGTCTCTGTATAATGCATATTAAAGCAGCGTTCATAAGCGCTGCCCTGCTTTGTTTACAGCAGTAACCAAGGAAACGCTGTATCGCTGCTGTTCCATAAGCGCCACCTGCTGTCAGATAGTGAATCTGCGTCTCATTCAGAGCTTCTGCATATTGTTTTGTGCAGATGTTTTATGTAGCATAGTTTCACAAAACTAAAGTCAGAGCATTCTGTTTTTGTTTTAAAATGTCAAATTATGCAATCTAATTTAGATTAAAAAAAACTGTTCATGTTGCATGTATTCAGCATCTTTGTTTGGATTGTGATTCAAATGCAGTGGTTGCCTCTAATTTTGAATGGAAAGAGCACAGGTAGCCTTTGTTTATATGAAGAGATTTTTTTTTGTCTTATTTAATTTGGGGTTTGTTTTAAAATTTCAATTTAGTTTTGACATATTTCTGTTTCACAAAGAAATGTGCAGCATTTTGTCCAAGCAATAATAAAAGGACACCTTTTCATTTATAATTTGTCTTAACCCTTTAGGCGCCAGGGTTTTTTTGGAAAAATGCTGGATTTTGACATCAAGATTTCAAAAGCTTGTGGCTTGAAAGGGCTTAAAGATAGAGATCTAATGTAAATTAGAAAAATGTTGGGCATGACCGAAAGTTTATGTGGGGTGTAAATATACTCATCTAATTTGCATATTATGACGTCATCAGAGGCGGCCATCTTGAATTTGCATCAATGACACGATAGCTCACTTGCTCTGCTCTTTCCTCAAACACTTTGAATAGGAAGGTGACGTAATTTTGGTCTAGAATCGAAGTACTACATGTCTGCCATCTAGTGGTAGGGAATACAAATGAGATATTACACCATATTAGGAACTACAGTCTATTTGATTAAGCATGACGTCTTGTCGCAATTTTGCGACTTTGGCGCTAAGAGGGTTTAGAAAAAAATCATGAGACAATCGAATCGTGAAATCAGTATCGTGAATCAAATCGTGAGTTGAGTGAATCGTTACATCCCTGTTATCAAGATTTTTACATAAAAAACATCATAATTTAGAAGTAATAGGCTATTTTCTGTCCTGTTTTGACCCCCTCATCAGAACGCTCTGTTTGAATAGGCGTGTAGGATTGTCAACTCGGAAGTAAACGACCACTGCTATGATTGGCTAGTTGTGTATGTTTGACAGCCTACATCCTTCATAGATGAACGCTGCTGTGATTTAGGTTAAAAAC